CCAGCACAGCAAATAGTTTATGAGACCCTATCTCCAAAATACCCAGATAAAAAGGACTTGGGAGGGGGAGGTGGCTTGAGTGGTAGAGCACCTGCTTTGCAAGTGTGAAGCCCTGAGTTCAAAACTAGTCCCACTAAAAAAAAAAAGAAAAAACAAAGAAGACAGGTTTACTTGTTTGTTCAGTTCTTTTCTAATGAATGCACTCATGTTACATACTTACACGAAGTAAATGTGTATGCTTAAAAAAAAAGATCTGTGTGTGAGGGCTACATACAAGCCTATATCCTAGCTACTGGGAGCAAGGAATCAGGATCTCAGTTGGAGGTCAGCCCAGGCAAAAAGTTCATCAGACCTCATCTCAACCAAAGGCTGGGAGCAGTAGTGACTGTCTGTCACCCCAGCTATGTGGAGAAGCCCGAAGAGGAGGACAGGGGCCAGGCCAGCTTGAAACCAGAGTTTTGGACCCAAGGCCCAGACTCCTGAGATTCCATTTGCCAACTCCAGCCACTGCCCCTAAACGCCAGATAAAGAGGCCTGGTGAAGGCAGAGAAAGGAGGTTTATTACGTGGCTTGGGACATGCCATGGAAGAGGCAGAGTAAGCACTCAGTCTGTCTTCAGCCATCTTTGGGGTACACACATGAGCTATAGGTTTAAGAACTGGGGGCAGGGGATAAGGGTATGCATAGCTAAACAGTCCCAGTCATAGGTGTAGCTGTGACTGGCAAAGCAGTTTGGCCAGGCAGATGGTCTGGTCCAGTTCTGGGAAGTTATCAGCTGGAGAGAGTAATCTGGTTCCTGAGAGGATTACTCTGGCTCAGGATAACTCTCCTCACTGGGATGGTGGCAGCTCCAGGTGGCTCCAGTTCATTGTCATAAACATATTATCAGTATTGTCCTTTTTGGAATCCAAAGTCATTGTAAAGTGACTGCAGAGAGAATGGCCTAAAGCAAAGATAGGTACAAAATGGAGGCAGGGATGCCAAGCTTCTCCTGTTTTTAGTTAATTCGTGTGCCAGAGTAAGGAGTCAGTGCTTTTCAGCAAAATTGGTTTGAGCACCTCTTATAAGCCCAGGCATTAAAGCAAGACTCTATTTCAAAAATAACCAAAGCAAAAATGGGAGGCGGGGGCTGGTGGAGTGGCTCAAGTGGTAGAGTGCCTGCCTAGCAAGTGAGGAACCCTGAGTTCAACCTCCAGTATCACCAAAAAAAACCAAAACAAAAACCATTTGCCATATGTTGTGTGAAAGTGCAGTTCATTTGTTTCTCCTGTGAAACAGTATTCCTTGTATGACGGGGTGCTTCCTATTTGGGGTGGTATATTAATAAATGCTCTCTAATCATTGCAGTACAAAAAGAAAACGAAATTACACGAGGAGTAATTTAGCAGAGTAAATTTGAACTGAATGAAGCAAAGAATACAGAGGTAAAAGAAAATAAAAGATGAAAGAGAAGTAAAATGTAGAAGAGGAGGGATAAAGAAGTTGAAAACAGGAAATAGCCAGACTCGGGTGGCAATCTGATTTTGATTTTAAATGTGAAATAAAAATATGACAAAAAGAAAGGTGCCAGTGCAGTGAGCGTCTGGTGGAGGCCGTTCCCTAGACTTCAGCTTTTAGCTGAGCTTTCACACTGTGGAAGGAGCAAACAAGTCCCCTTGGGCCGCGTCTATAGGGATCAAAATCAGAGGATTTCTACCCTCATGTCAGCTCCAACTCCCCCCACCACCTTGGCATCAGATTTCAGCATATGGATTTTAGGGACGTGGAGACAGACATTGACACCATGGCATTCTACCTCTGGCTCCCCCAAATTCATGTGCTTCTCACTTTCAAAATATACTCATTCCATCTTAATAGCTTTTAGGTAACTCCCTCCAGTGTCAACTTGAAAGTCTCAGGTCCAGAGTCTAATCTGAATCAGGTAAGGGTGAGACACAAAGTCTTCTCAGGTGTGAACCTGTGAAATCAATCAAGTTCTGTACTTCAAAACGCAATAGTTTGACAGATACTTCAATTCCCAAAGAGAGAACTAGGAAAGGAAAAAAGTTAGCAGTTCCCAAGTTAGTCTAAAACCCAACAGAGAAAGAAATTTGCATCTAAGCCCTGAGGATAATTCTTTGACTTGACATCTGCCTTATAGATGGGTCAGGATTTGGGTCCCCAAGATTTTGGGCAGCCCCACACTTTGCTAGGTACAGTCAGGTGGCAGCTTTCATGGTCACATAACCCTTCCAGGCTGGAGCCCCACTCTGTGGTTGTATCTGCCAGGGGTCACTAGGACCCCAGCCCCATGTTTTCATTAATTGCCTCGAGGGAGGCTCTATGGAAACACCGCCTCTGTAGCAGGTTTCGACCTGGACCCCTTGGCTCGCTGGGGCATCTTTGATAGATTATCTAGATGAAGAAGCCACATACCCAAGGCTGGTGAATTCTGAGCACCTGTGGGGATGGCGCCAATAAGGTTTACCACCTGTGCCATCTAGTGGCTAAGACTTCATGCCACACCCCAGGCCCACTGCAGTTACACCTGAGATGGCCAAACAGTGCCAAGCCAGAATGAGAGGACCAGAGACTTGAGGCCAGGCAGTAGGAGTTGATGTCCCCAAGCTTCTTTCTTTGACATTCTGTCCTCGGCCCTGGAGATCTGCCTAGATGAATAGCACCTGCTCTCTGATGCTCCCCTTTCACCTTCTGGTTACTTGGCCACTCCCTGGCTTACTCTCTCGTTATTCAGCATATGGCTGGCTGAGATTTTCCCTTATCTTTGAGTTCTGCTTCCCTTTTGATTATAAATTCATCTCTAAAACATCCCTTTTCTCTCATTTTACTATTGATGGGTAGCAATTAGACATAAGCGATGGCCATCAGAGAAGACAAGGAAAGCATATTATTTTAATAAATATTTAAAGAGCCAGAGTGTGACATTAGAACAGAACCAGAGCAGCTGGCCCCTACCATCTTTTAGCTGCTAAGTGACAGGAACAGGGAGACACAGAGGAACTACTGCTTCTGCTTTCCTCTTTGAGATGTTAACCAGCTACCAAGATCCATGGATGGGTGGAGAGTAATGAAAGGGAAATTCTAAAGCACAACTATTGTTTCTGTGACTTGGGTGGGATGTGGGTGTGATTTGGATGACCCCTCCTTCTTCTGTCAGCTATCTCAGCCACCTAGAGCCATTATCTTTGACCAGTGTATTCCCCCCAGCTCTTGACTATAAAACTAAGAGTTGGGGACCACCATTTTGAGTCTTTGCTCCCAGGCCTATGGGGACAGAGACACCTGGACCAGGTCAGTTGTGGAAAGGATTCTGTTTTCTGCCCATCCACATCCTGGTCACCATGTTCAGTGAGAAACGTTTTAGAGTCCACCCCATCTATCTTTTGCCTCTAGGCTAGCTTCACACTATGGCCTCTGGGGAAACTCAATGCCATTTGTGACTTGTCTATTTCTCATTTGTAGTTCAACAGCCCTGCTGGCTATTGTGTCCCAACACAGTTAATCACATCCTACTTGGTTGAGTCCAGACCTCGAGTTCATCTGGAAAACTCCAGGTCATCCTCTGAGACAGGCTTGAATGCCCTTGCTCTGTTAATGTGATCCTCCAAGGCCACCAGACAGTTCATCCCACCTCATGGCCACTCAGACCTCTACAAGGAGGCACAGAAGCCACCAGCAAGGTATAAACCTGCAGTGTCCACTGCACACTAGACTGATGACCCCAGTGGGTGAGTCCAGGAACCTACCATGTAAGAGGTGCCTGGAGATGAACCCATGACTCCCTCCTACAGCATGTAGCAGAGCTCTGTCCAGCTGAGTCCTTACTTCATAGTTGCTGGGTCTCTGACAAGTCTCCTGGGGAGCTATGGCCAAAGGACTTAGGGACATGTGTGTGCCCTATGAACCCAGAAATTATGAATATTGGGCATTCCTGGACATCACATGAGTGTGATCACCTATTGTCACATCAATACCCACCCACCTTCACACCTTGTTGGGACCATGGTCAAGACACAGATCATGACCACTCTGGTGGCCCACTGGTAGTTTCCCATTGGACAAGATTTAATGTGTCACTGTCCACTCTCCCTTCTGCTCTAAGCACCAACACTTCAGGTCCATGTTCCTGGCCTACTCGGAGTTAAGATGAAAGTCTCCAGGGCCAACCATGTCGAGTGGACATGTAGACAGCAGCTAACTGAAATCTTCATCATCAGCCTAGGACTGACAAGATGAATGCACCACTTCTTTTCAGATTTAGAACTGTGGGGATAAAGTTGGTGGACAGATTTGTGCCCTGTCCACTGACTCTGAAGGAAAGGGACAGCCAAAGAGAGAGCCAGCAAGACCCACAAAGTCCAACAAAGGAAGGGGTCTCCCTGGAGTGGGGATAAGGGGAGGAACCCTGCAGGTTCTTCTGTTGAAGAATAAGAACTTCACCAGACTTTCAGATCCCAGGGGACATCCCACTTTGGGGATGATCTCTGCAGCCAGTATAGAAGAAAGCATTTATAGCAGTATCAAAGGTATACCATTGCCAGGCGCCGGTGGCTCACGCCCATAATCCCAGCTACTCAGGAGGCAGAGATCAGGAGGATCATGGTTCAAAGCCAGCCCAGGCAAAGAGTTCACAAGATCCTACCGCAAAAAACCCATCACATAAAGGGGCTGGCAGAGTGGCTCAAGTGATTAGAGTGCCTATCTAACAAGCATGAGATCATGAGTTCAAACCCCAATGCTGTCCAAAAGAAAAAAAAAAAGTGTGTCATTATCTATTACCAACTTTGCACACTGTAATTAATTTTAAATATTTAAATATAATTTTTTAAAGGAGTCTGAAATATTCTTGAAAACAAAAAGTATGTGAATTGATAACTGAACAGCACGAGTCCATAAAAGCAAAGGCACAAAAAAAAAAGCAAAACAGAACTATAGGCACACACGCAGATGCACAGACCCATATGCAGAAACTAACACATGCACGCACACACACAGTACACATAGAGATGCACAGATGTTGTCTCACGAGGCTTACCAAGGTCATAATTTTTATTATACTCTGAATAGAGATGATATTTAAAGAGCAGAGAAAATGACTATACAAAGGATTGATAGAACATTCATTTACATACTGGATATATATTCTTTACAATATCAGAAAAGTAAAAATATGCACTAACAGGTAAGGCAGATGAGGAGACGTTACAAGGTCTCTGACACCGAGGATAAATGCAGTGTGACTGTTAACATGGCTATAGCTTTAACACTGGAGAAACAGACACCACCTTTAACAAGTAGGTTAGTAGGACCCTGGCTATCGTTAAGTGTTGGGCGTTGGTATTTCAAACTCACTCCCAGGACAGTGTCTGTGTGCGCATGCCCAACTGGAGCTCCAGGGGCAAAATGCCTTGGGAATATTTCTGCTGCCATGGTGTAGTCTGTGACAACATGGACTTCTTCTGTTCTGTTCTGTTCCTTACACAGGAAGCCTGTCGTACCAGTTCACGGGAAATCATGTGAATGGGCCTTCCCATGGTTCCTCGGAGGGAGTGAATTCCTTAACACCCTTGACCACTTTTACTTTGAATACAAAGTCATACCCGGTCGGTCAGTTTCAATAACCAGTTGGTGCAGCTTTTGCTTTCTTGTGGCATTCCGCAAAGACCCCAATGTCTCTCTCTCTACAGGTCATCTGCAGGTTGTGCTCCAGCCTTGCTCTGAGCTCTCTCCTCAGGCCCTCTCTGCCTCCAGCAGAAGGAAAAGGCCTGTGGTCTTTGGGTCAAAACCATCACTTGACATGGTACTTCTTGAGGACAATACAAAAACTCAGCTCCCCTTACTGGGGGATTCCTGTAGTGGATGAAAAAAAACTGAAATGCTAGGAGTCTCTGTGGCAGACATCAGGGTCTCCAGGGAATGCCAGCACAGTTTCTCTAACAGCCACGCCACTGTGTGTCCTGCAAAGAGGTCTGCGAAGACCAAGGCAAACATTTGGCACAAAAACGAGGCACTTGCGTTTGGTGCATCAATAGGAGCTAAAAAGTGGAGAGGTCCACCTGCACACACTCACACGCACACAGGCACGCTCACACACACACTCACCAACGTGCACCTAGGACACCCACCGTCATCCGGCTGGTTCCAACTCTGCACATAGCTGCATCTTCTTCTGCCCCTCACTTTAAAACAGAGAATCCACCAAGTACATTCCCAAACCCCAGCCTGATAACTGTGGCCTGTGACAGCTGTGTCCATTTATAAGCCAGGACTGGCCTTTTGGCAGCAGAAAAGAAAGGGAATTTCAGGATGGGTCACAAGGGAGATGCTTGGAGTTCCCACAGACTACGCTGGCTTCTGAGGGAAGGAGACTCAAGCCTTCTTTGTCTCTACAAAGCCCAGTGACATCTCTCACTTTGGGAAGTGCTAGAGTCACTGGCTTCTCCCGAATTGTGACCACTGACAGCTGTGGGTGATAAAACTGTAGCACTGAGAAACGTATGTAAATATGAACAAATGCACCCGATGCGGTGACAAGGAGGAAGCGGCAAAGTGGCACCACACATTGCCTTGAAGGAATGGGATTCTTACTCTTTCTCCCCATCCTTCCTTCTGTTCCAACGTGTCATACCAGCAGGTACTGCCAGGAGCAGCACGGTGACAGCTTACAAAGGCCAGATGTGCCAGGCTGCACAAGTCTGCAGACAATCCCAGCACCCCTCGGTAGGGGACACTGAGGTAAAACCTGGCGTCCCCACCCCTCTGGACATTGCCGTCAGGAATTAAGTCATTGACCATCTGGAAAAGACATTTTCAATAAGTAAAGTGTGGGATAGGCTGCTTGAAGCAAACACCACCTCCTAGCCTCACTGCAAGGAGGGGGACTTTATCATGTCAGCCTGAAACCACTTGCTTGCCTTAGTGTCGGGGGGACAGGGGTTATCATGGTACATCCTACAGGCCAAAGCCTCCTGAAAATCACAGCTTATCCAGCTGCAGCATTTGACACTGGTACAATATAGCAAGGGCAAACTGTTATAAATAATTTGGCATACATAAAATATAAATTATATAGAAATGGCATTTGTCCTTCCATCTTCTCCTTTTTCCTCAGAGTGCCCTGGGCTCTCTGGCATTGCAGACTCATCCAAAATGCCAGAGGAACCTGCCACCCTCATCTTCATAGCTCCTCTGGTTCATGTCCCTGCCGTGATCCGGAAGGGTTTGACCTGCACGAACCTTCGTCAAACATTCGTCCCCTTCTGTTTCATCAGCATCTATGGTGTGGGAAGATATCAAGTGAGGGAGGCAGTCTGCCTGGGGTGTCAACCGGACAGGATTTCTTCTGCCAAGGGCAGGTGCAGTAGTCACTTGGGTCCCTGCTGAGCGGGTTAGGTGTGTCTCATCCTCCCAGATGCTGGTGGGCCAGGAACTCAGTCCCCATCCCGCCTCTGTTCTCTCTTTTCCATGCCCCAGGAACACCCTAGGCCAAGCTCCTTCACCCAAAAAACGCCTGGCTCCAAAGATGTATCAGATAAGAAGTTTCTTTCAGGAAAGGCCAATTCATGGTGACACTGTCCTTGCTTTTGTAGAGTTTGCAGATTGCCCTCCCGGGCCTGGAATGTCAGGATTATCAGTTTGGTACAAAGCGGGGTCCCCACCTCACCCCACTGCCATCTCAAGGCCTCAAGAGGCAACCTGGTGGGTCTGGGCTCAAGGGGCTCTCAGATCTTCTTTGGGGAGCCGATCATGACCTTTGACACAAAGTTGACAATAGCACTGGCGGGCTGCTCAGGGTCATGCTCTGCAAACAGATGGCACACATTGTCGGTGGTGCTGCCCTGCTTCCGAGCCACGAATCCAAAAACTCTGCAAGAGGACAGTCCAGGTTAGAGCAGCCAGGGCCCTGCAGTGCACCATGCGTGTGCAAAGCTGCCACCTACTCTGGCCCCCACCAGCTCCCCCACGAGCAATTCCACCTGCCACAGAGCACATGCTATGCACTAATGACTCACATCTATAATCCTAGCTATTTGGGAGGCTGCGATCAGGAGGATCATGGTTCAAGGGCAATCTGGGCAAAAGACGTTTGCAAGAGCCCATCTCAGTGGAAAAAAGCCAGACACAGTGGCATGTTCCTGGGATACCAGTGATGGCACAAAGCCTAAAACAGAAGAATCGCCAGACACTGGTGGCTCACACCTATAATCCTAGCTACTCAGGAGACAGAGATCAGGAGGACTGAGGAACAAAGCCAGCCCGGGAAAATACTTTGTGAGACCCTATCTGGAAAAAACCCATCACCAAAAAAGGGCTGGTGGAATGGCTCAAGGTGGAGGCCCTGAGTTCAAGTCCCAGTACCGCAAACAAACAAATAAATAAATACATAGCTAGGTAGGTAGATAAATAGATGGATAGATAGAGAGGGTGGAAGCAGTGGCTCCACGTGAGGGACTGGAGCCCTCCAGATGAGTTCCTGAGCTCCAGTGGACATGCAGGACCAGAGGTGCGAAGGGAAGAAGAGAGCCATAGGGGCTGCCAGAGGGCCCCCAGGCCTGTCTTGACTCGGACACCTCACCCACTGAGGCAGGAGGAGAAATATGTCCAGGACTTGTAAGCCTGAGTCACAAACCATGCCCAGTTTAGAAAGCTGTTTAAAAAGAACAGTACATCGAATTATTTCTCTAAGAATTAAAGCCATTTTCTTAATAGGCTTTTCTGAGTCATAAACTTCACACAATACCCATCATTCTCCAACTGTAAATCCCTGGCAGTGGTCTTTCTTCTCTTTTTTGGAAAAATGAAGGACTTTTTGTTTCAGCTTAGCAGTCTGCACACCACAGAAGGACCAGGCCAGTGACACTCCAGTAACCCCAATGGAGTCACTGGTTCCAAGCTAATGGAAGCCCCATGCTGCCCTGCTTGCTAGCCAACCAGAGGCCTGTGTGTGCAAGGGGACATGGTCCCTCAGTGGGCACTGACCAGCTCCCCAGACTAAAGAGGGTCCTGACTAAAAAAATATTTAAAAAAATCCCAGGGAAGGAGGCCTGCGACTGGACACTTGTGGTCATTAAACATAGACTCTGTAGAGGAAGCCCAGGTGGGCCTGCAGACAGTGACGCCTCCAATGGGAGGTTAGAATGTGGTCCCTCCTCCACCTGCCCAGATGGCAGTCCTGGGCTGGGAATGAGTCCTCACCAAGCAAAGGCATGATAAAAATACACTCCCTTGTGTTTGGTAAATGCTGAACACTGATTTCATCTCTTGTTAATGTAGAGAGAACCCTTCCTTCCAGCTGTGAGAGCCTCAGCACTACTAGGCCACTCTCTCCCCCACACATCTGTCTCACTGTGTGTGCCGCCATATTACAGATCCATCCTAAACACTGCACACCCAGGCAACAGTGGCAGAAAAGCCAATGCTACCCAGGCCCTGGCTCCATAATAAGAACCTTTTCCCTCCCCCCATTATTTATTTATTTAGCAGTACTAGGGTTTGAACTCAGGGCCACTCCACCAGCCCTTTTTTTTGTGAAGGGTTCTTCTGTGTTTTTTTGTGAAGTGGTCTCAAGAACTATTTGCCTGGGCTGGCTTTGAACCACGATCCTCCTGATCTCTCCCTCCTGAGTAACTAGGATTACAGGCGAGAGCCACTGACATCCAGTCCTTATTTTTTATTTTAAAGCAAACAAACAGTCCATTGCAGTGACTGAGCAGTTTTCATCTAAGAAACTTTCTTTGGAAATCTGACACTGAAGGCAATTTTGGACCGTGACTTTAAACAGAGAGAATGTAAAGACAGGTTGGCTAACTTACTTGGAGGAAGGGCCGTCTTTGATCCACCTTGAGAATTACAGAGAAAAGGAAAAAGTTAACACTGAGTTTTAAAATTAAAGTGTAAATAAAGCAGAGAAAATAAAAATGCAACTGTCTTACTTCCTGTCTTGCGGGTCCAAGGCACAGAAGATCACGCTGCTCACAGGGTAATGTCTTCGGAAGAAGAGCCTGTTGGGTAAATCATAGAGAGGACCATTCTTGCTACTGGGGCTTTAGGGGGAATGGGGATGAGGACAGGCTCACCCACTTTCCTGTAGGTAGGATTCATGGAGTAGAAACTATCTAACATTTTTATTTGTCATCTGGAGAGAAGAGACAAACATAAGCTTGTGAACAGTCAACAGCAAATACAAAGCTGGGCAAAATGGTTCATGGGAACAGCCAACAGAAGAGCCATACAGAATGGAAGCATCAGCTGCATGGACATGGGGACTAGATCAAGGAGTGCGAAGGAACTAGATGGGTAGAAGACCGGCCCAAGGAAGCAACTCAGGCCTGCGGGGACCCTCCTGGCTGTGTCATCATAGGGAGACCTCTAACGGTCTTGTTGTCCATGAAGACAATGTCAAGAGACCAGCTAGCCTTTCTCACAAGATGGTGCCCAAATAAACATGATACCAGGTTGGAGAGCCCCAACCTAGCTGTCAAGGCCAAACCAAGCACAGCATTTTCCCCTGCTCTTTTTATTGGAGCTGCAAAATTCTCAAGTAGGTTCTTTAGGAGAGGCTTGAAAGATGAGGAAACCACACATCAGGAAGTTAAGGAGCAGGCCCAGTGTCACCTGCTCATTAGTAAGGGGGGAAGGCACAGAACTCAGAGCAGAACAAAGCCCGAGACCTGCCCCAGGTCCTGGTTCACAGCAGGTGAAGAGTTATAAGCAAAACCTGCCCAAACGTGCGTCATCCTGAAGCAGTGGATGGAAGAATCTGCCTTTAACCTCCCACACAGCATGGGCAGGTGAAAATGTCTCACTAGGACAGGCACTGCAGGGTGGGGGGATCTGGGGGAATGTTGTGCGCAAAGGTTCTAAAGCTGACCTGCACGATGTCTTGTGGGCATGGGTACCCAGAGGTTCCTACCATCACTATGGGTCCACCACTGCCTTCCTTATTAATCATATAAGACTGTTTTCTTTAACAAATATCTGATATGCCCTTGACCTTGAGGTCCAAGGTGCCTCATGTAGAAGCTGATGAGAAAACTCTGGAAGGCCGGTGGAGGACAAGCCTGTGACCAAGCATTCCTAGCTCGTCGGGGCTCAGGGAGCACCTGTTCCAGTGTAACTGATGCAGTAAACACAGGGACCAAAATCATGTGGACTTGATCAAAGAAAATAATATGCATCAAGGTTATTCTCTTGGCTGAAATGAGATGAGCTTCAGTTTAAAAAGAAATGATGCTCACGCCTGTAATCCTAGCTACTCGGGGGCAGAGATGAGGAGATCGTGGTTTGAAGCCAGCCCAGGCAAACAGTTCATGAGACCTTATCTTGAAAATACCCAAAACAAAAAAGGGCTGGTGGAGTGGCTCAAGATGTAGGTCCTGAGTTCAAACCCTAGTACCACCAAAAAAAAATCAAAAAAGGTAATGATGCTGAAACAGAGGTCAGGGATCCGATCAGTTACGGTACTTCTAAAGTAATGACTAAAAAGATTTTTGCATTTGTAAATCTATGTGTGTGGTATTCAAAGTACCAAATATCTTTTTCTTAAAAAGTTTACTGATTTCTAAGAAACAAGCCTTCAGGAAAAATACTAACACTGGTCTACGTGTAGCTCCTGGGACGTATTTAATGACAGGGGCCAGTCTAGACAGAGGCTTGTTACTAATGACTTCAAGGGCAGCTAATCATGTGCCTGGATGACCACTCACACTAGCGAAGACCATCTATCCACCCCACCCCACCCCTCAGGGGTCACAGCTCCACCCCAACAGCCCTCCCGCCCAGCACTCACTTCCTCTGATTGTCCGTCAGGGTAATGCCCTGTGCAGACACCTTGAAGTGTACCACTGTGGACACTGGGGGAGGCTCTTGGACCAAGGTCATGCTCAGGGCTTTCTGGACGGCCTGGTGGCCGGTGAGGGACTCCATCTCCACGGAGTTCAAGTACCACACATTGCAGGCTGTAAGACATAAAGGGAGGGGTGGAGTGAATGTCAGCCATGCCTGTCAGGGCTATGTCAGATCCACTTGACACACAGCAGTGGCTGACGTGCAAATGGTGGGTTCATAAAGAGCTGGATGTGCAACCTACCAGGTACATTTAAAAGCAAATGTCCTTTGTCCCCAATTTTGAATTCAGCACAGAGAATGAATGTCCAAAAGACACATGCCCTCTTGCCAAGGTGTTGAATGGACAGGTTGCTCAGGCAAAGCCTGGCTCTGCCCTCCACTGGCTGGAAGAGAGACTCTATTTGTCCTGTTGCAAGACAAGACCCTTCTTATGGCCTCTGGGGTTTGGATGACAGTCACCTTAGCGCAAAAGCCCACTTACTTTACAGGTAAGGGGTCACTGAGGTCCTCAAGAAACCTCTTCAGGGAAATGGTGTGCTTCACAATTACAGACAATGACCTTGCCCATGGAGAGGAGAGGGCATGCAGAAGTGGGTGAGAAGAGAATGCCAGCCATTTTTGTCTGAGTCCTGGCTCCCCTACTGCCAGAGAAAGTCTTGGGGTCTTCTTTGTGATCAACTCCTCTTGGGAGGGAAAATGGCTGTATCAACACAGCCTTGGGAATTTCCCACTCTCCCCCTTAGCCCACACTCATCCCATAAGGGAACCTCAACAAGGAAAATTAAGCAAGTGCTTTATTTGGCTTTCTGGACTGCACCCCAGGAAAACATTACAATGTTACTGAGAAGCTAAGAGAGCTGAAGTGCTTGTGAAATCATCAGGGTATCCCTTTGGCACGAATGGGCTCTACACCATCAGAAGTGTTAAAAGACCTTTATGTACAGAGAAAGTGAATCTGGGTGTCTCTTCCTGCTCTGTGCAAATGTAAGAGGTGCTCAAACTGCTTTTGCTGAAAAGACTGACTTCTTACTCAGACCCACGAATTAACTAAAAACAGGAGAAAAGCATGACATCTCTCTTCCATTTTGAATCTGTCTTTGCTCTGAGCCAGTCTCTCCTGCAGCCACCTTGGAATCAAGGAAGGACAGGAATGGTCAATAACATCTTTATGACAATGGACCAAAACTACACTCAACAGTAGGCCCTCCTTAGGATCGACCACCTGCCTGGCTCCAGATAACAACTCTGGAACCTCTCTGAGAACAAGCACTGAGATAATGGTCAACCAGAACACACCTATGACTGGGACTGTTTAGCTATGCACACCTTTGTCCCCATCCCTAGTTCTTCTCTCCATTTAAAACTATAGCTCATGTGTGTACCCCAAAGATGGCTGAAGATGGACTGAGTGCTTACTCTGCCTCTTCCATGGCATGTCCCGAGCCGTGTAATAAACCTCCTTTCTCTGCCTTCACCAGGCCTCTTTATTTGGTGTTTAGGAGCAGGTGGCCAGACCTGGCATATGGAATCTCAGGAGTTTGGGCCTTGGGTTCAAAATTCCAGTTTCAGTATTAATAAAAACCCTACGAAGAAGAGTGTATTACTATAGTCAAATGACTGATAAGGAAATCGAGACCCACAGACAATGAGACTCGGACAGGCACCCATCTCCTATGTTCAGGTCATGGTGACTATGCTGTAATACAATCTTCAGGGCTAACCCCATGTTTCCTGGGAACTCATTAAGTACCAGGCAGAAGACAGGGGATGTAACGCTAAGTAGTTCACACTCCCAAGAGGCACCTCAGTTGTGTTCAAATCTCTTCGGTCATAGCCCAGGTCCCTGGACAATTCTTGTCATTATCATGACAGACATGCATTCCTTTCAGAAGGTCACTGTTACGTCTGCACATTTTGGTCTGGAGACATACTGACAGGCAGGTAGACACCAGTCACCCCTCTGTATGGCCTACTTAAGCCTAAAGATTTCCATGGCCCTTCTCTGTATTTCTACTCCTTCCAGCAGTGTTACTCATTGCACCGGACCGAATGTCTGTGTCCCCCAAAGTGATGGTTTTAGGAGGTGGCAGGTGAACAGGTCATGAGGAAAGAGCCACCATGATGTGACTAGTGCCTGTGTAAAAGAGCCCCCAGTTGGAGTGTGGTGACCCGTGCCTATAATCCCAACACTGGCAGGAGGATGGTGAATTCCGGGCAGCCTGGGCTACACAGTGAGAGCTTGTCTTTAATTAATTAATTAATTAATAAGCTGATCCCAGTGGTGCATGCCTGTAATCCTAGCTACTTAGAAGCCAAAGATCAGGAGGATCACTGTTTGAAGCCAGCCCAGACAGTAAGTTCACGAGACCCAATTTCAAAAAAAAATCCATCACAAAAGGGCTGGTGGAGCAGCTCAAGGTGTAGGCCCTGAGTTCAAACCCCAGTATAGCAAATAAACAAGATACAATAAAATAATAATTAATAAACAAAAAAAGAGAAAGAGAGACCCAGCAGAGCTGTCTTGCTCTTTCTCCATACGTCCCTCAACAAGTCAGGAAGAATCCTTGTGGTTCACAAGCATTTCGGCTCCTGTCCAAACCTGAGGACTTATCAGTGTTTTCTTGAGAAAGCAGGTTGGCCAAAGTCCTTGAAATTGCAGTTGCCAGGTACACAATGCCCTCAAAGCTTTGATCATGGCCCAGTACAACTGAGGGCCATTTTGGATGGTAATTTGGCCAAACTCATCAGGAGGATTCAGTAAGCCTAGTAACCTAGAGGACCCATTTCTGAGAAGATTCTGAAAGTCTATAACCCTTGAGATAACTAATCTACAGAGAGCAATGGGTCACACGCCATTGCAGAGGAAAAGCCTGGAAACATTATGTTCAAAAATCAGGGAAAGGTTCAATTTGTCCCCTCAATAGAACAGCAAGCAACCAGCAAATAGCAACCATGAAAATTACATAGCAACATGGAAAAAACGGTTAGCAGGTAATTGGAAAAGCAGAATGAAAACTATCTCCGCTATGAATAGAACTGTAAAATAGAAAGCACACGAGGCTAGGAACTAGAGCCAGAAGGAAGTCTGGCAAATTAAAAACAGATTTTTCGGAGGGTCAATTTTCTACCTTTGATCTCCGTCATGCAGTTATGGAAAAGGAAGAGGAGGGGGAGGAAGAAGAGAAGAGGAAGAAAAAGAGGAAGAGGAAGAAGGGGGAGGAGAGAGGAGAAGGGGGAGAAAGGAAGAAGAGGAGAAAGAAGGAGGAGGAGAAGAAGGTGAAGTTGAAGAGGAAGAAGAAGGAAGAAGAGGATGTAAATTCCATAGTTGGCACAACATGGATGGGGTCTGGGCATGGACTCACAGGCCTTCATGATTCAGGCCCTGGCTCTATTTTCTCTCGAATGCACCACAGGGGACTTTTTAATAAGGGGGCACAGCTGCCTGATGCTGCAGGTGTCCTAGTAGGCCTAACCCAGGGCTGTCCAATTCCATTGGCAAATGCTGTTGATGAGCAGTGATCATTAGTCAGAAGCACATCTATCAGGCCCTCAGCAGAGAGCTCTGTGAAGTGCTAGGCCACTTTACAGCATGTCAACATCTCGGTTTACTATTCTACCCCTGTCTGTCATGTCATTTGTGGGAAGTTACCTCAAGGTAATAATCTAGAATGAAGAAAAACTAAAGAAAGCAGGAAGGTAGTCCTCTGAGCGTTGGTTTTAGTATTGAAGAAATTAGAGACAGGCTAAATGGACAACCAGGAAGAGTTGACACAATGGGCCATAATGTAGCCATTATGTCTGTAAAAACCATGGGCAAACTCATTAGGCAAAATGTGAAAGGAACATAAAACAATACAGAATGATGAGGCAAAATCACACATATGAGGGGAGGGAACAGACGTGACTTTTTTTTGGGTGGTATTAGAATTTGAACTCAGGGCTTTGTACTTGCAAAGCAGGTGTTCTAATACTCGAGCCATACTTCCAGTCCATTTTGCTGTGGTTATTTTGGAGATGGGGGTCTCGGGAACCATTTTCTCAGGCTGTTGGCAAACTGTAATCCTCCTAATTTCAGCCTCTCAAGTAGCTAGAATTATAGGTGTGAGCCACTGGAGCCTGGCTGAAACATGACTTTTATAAATACTTACAAAATGCTAAAGCAAAATAAAATCAAATAAAACAACCACAATATTGATAGGAAATTAATCAGCAGTGTGGTCCAAGTTTACCCCCCATTCCTCTGCCACTAATTAAGACCTGAGGCTTAAAACACGAAAAGAAACTGTGTTAGAGACTAGAACAGTCATAAGGGCCTCAGTATCAAATGAAAAGGGATTAAACTGAGTAGAATTAAAAATTTTCTGCTAATTCTTCTGAGTCTTGGCTCCTCAATCAATGAGGAAATTGAACTTGATGATCTCAGAGGACCTTTCCAAGTTCAGGAGTCTAATATCCCCAGGGAATCAGGATGGTGAAATTCAGATGATGGAGGAGGAGGAGGAGGAGGTCAAGATGAGACACCTGGGCAGGCTCTGCCTCCTGGGAGCCATCAAAGATGTGGAAGAAATTTAAATGCCTATTACTAACTGACAGAAAACAATCTGAAAATGCTACATACTGTAAGATTGTACTGTAAGGCATTCTAGAAAAGTCAAAACTATGGAGATAGTAAAAGGATCAGTGGTTTCCAGGTGCTTGGATATGTACGTGTGAGTGTGGGGGGAGGAACAAGGGATGAGCAGGCAGAGTATAGAAGAATTTGAAGACAATGAAATATCCTGTATGACTTTATAATGGTGGATTCATGCCAGACCCACAGAAAGGAGAACACCGTATCAATATTGGCTCATCAATTGTAACAGATACAACACTTTGGCATAGGGTGAGAGACTATTATCTAGGATATCTCTGTGCCTTCCCTTTAATTTTGAAGCGAGGCTATGAAAAGTAAAGTCTACCAATGAAAATGTCATAACAAAGTGTCTTGGTCTCTGTGAGGCTGGCTCTAGGTGGGGTGTCTCACCAGACTGAGGGCCACACGGGTCCAACCTTTGACTCATGATTGTTGAGTCACATCTCCGGAACTTTCTACATCCACAGCTGGCAAGGAGGGTCACCCACATCCTGTCTTTCTACACTTCCCCCGACACTAAATATAAGACTTGACATTTATTCCCTTGAATTTGGTCTGGTCCTAGTCACACCAGTGTTACCAGGTCTGTCATGCCCTGGTTGCATCTCCATACAGTTGTACCCCACCCAGCTTCACAGTCTGCAAAAAACTAGCTTGAATAAGAGATGTGCAGAGGAAAGCCCAGATCTGCCCAGTAACCAGGAGGTGTGGAAACAGAGATTCTCACCCACCTGCTCCTTGCTTCAACAGTTCAGCTGCTGAGTTGGCCGCGGTCTGGGGAGAACTGTCTGTTATCTCTTCCAATGGATCTGCAGGAAGGGGCAAGAAAACACAGAAGTGAGTGTGGCTCCTGACAGAGTTCTCATGATAACTCTCACATGGTGACAGGCAATGGCTTTGCACAGTGACATGTCTCTTGTAGACAATAATCTAGCCCATAGAAAGTACAACCACTTTCAGAACAAAGACAGGAATGACAGCAAGTGACAGAATTATGTTTCTGAGCTCTGATTTAGAGGAGCCAATCATGCCTACCCATATTTTTCATTAGATCATTCTGTCTTTGTGTGAAATTAAGACATCTTAGGACTGCTGGGACATAGGATCAAATTGTTGTGATATGCTCTGAGTATTATTTTGTGTGTGTGTGTGTGTGTGTGTGTGTGTGTGGATTTGAACTCGGGGCCTCACTTTTGTGAGGCAGGTGTGCTACCATTTGAGCCATTCTCCCAGTCCTATTCTGTGTTGGGTATTTTTGAGATAGGGTCTCATGAACTATTTTTCCAGGGCTGGTTTTGAACTATGATCCTTCTGATCTCTGCCTCCTGAGTGGCTAGGATTGCAGGCATGAACCATGAGTGTGTGGCCTTATTACAGATATTTTCAAAGTAGTAAGAATGGTTTATCCATCCCTTAAATTAAACATTATCAACATTTTTCCCATTTTGTAGAATCATGCAAATTATATGCAAAGGTCTGTGTGTCTGAGAGCTTTAGGTTTTTAAGCTTCAGAGGCAACCCTGAAACCATCCAGCAAAGCCACGATGCATAGACGTCTGGATGCTTCTGGCTGTAGCTGGCTGTCATTTTTCTTTGGCTCAGGTGAACTTGTTGGGGACTTCTGTTGGGGATACCAACACAGCACATGTCAGGTAAAGAACTTCAGTCTTGATTTTTCTCAGTGGCTCTCTGTAGAGCCAAGAGCAGGAGGCCTTGACCACCACCTGCAATCCTACACTGAGCCCTAAGTTCATACCTCTCTCTGGAATGAGCAGCTTGCACGGCAGGGCCAAGGGTGTGATGGAATGCTGGCACACCAGAGCCGTCAGGCTCCCTGCAAAGTGGACAGAAGCAAACAAACGTCAACAGAGGGCACTGCAAAATGATCAGTTGAAATCAAACTGGCATGAAGGCTGAGCCCTTACAGCTTCAGCAACTAGCATGTTCCATTATTGTGGGATGTGGTGCAAAACTCAAAGAAGTGACAGGTAACAGGACCTTGGGCTCGTATGGATTCCTGGCATAGACATGCCTCTAGCAGAGTACAAAGAATGAATCATACACCTTGGTGCATGTGAAATAAGAGGGCCAGGTGATGTTAATCCAACTTTAAGCACATCTGTCATCCCTGCCCAGTGCTTCTAAAAGGGCTAGGATAATTAGGATTTCTTAAGTCCACCCCATGCTGGATGGGGCTGGCTCCCATAGCCTGTCTGACAAGCCCGTGAGGCAGGAAAGCTTTTGGATTTACAGAGAAGGAAGAAGGTTTGGCCAGAAACTCTGTGCTGCTCCTTTTGCCTGTGGGATGGGCTTACTCTGGGCTCCAACCCTGTCAGGACTGGACATACATGGTTTTTAGTCCTGGCAAAGTGCTTTTGCTTGTTTTTGACAAAGCTTTGAAGAATCATGACACATATTCAGCTCTTTTTTTTTTTTTTTTTTTTGGTGGCACTGGGGTTTGAACTCTGGGCCTCACTCTTGCTAGGCAAGTGGTCTTAATGCTTGAGCCACTCCACCCATCCTTTATTTGTGACAGGGTCTCACAAACTATTTGTCCACACTGCTCTGAACCACCATCCTCCTGATCTCTGCCCCCCAGGATTACAGGCGGGAGTCACTGGCACCTGACCCAATATCCAGTTCTTCTTAAAGACAATACTTCAGATGAGAGGCACCTCAGCTCTGGGAGCCAAAACATGAGTGAACCCCAAGAGTGAGAGTCTCAAATCCCTGATCCATTGGCAGAGGGAACCTAGGCTCTAGTGTTCAGGACACGGAGAGCAAATGTCTCAAGTAACTCACCAAAATATGGTTCATTTGAACACCCTTTCAAACGTACTCCCTTTGGGGTACACTCGATCAAAAAATGCCGGACAAGTTCATTAGACAAATCTCCAGCTGTGGGAAGAAATTTTTAAAAAGTGTTTTAACAAAAGCATGGGAAAATTCGAGAGAGAGAGAGAGAATACAGACATGAAGCAAGGAGGTAAGACCTGAGAAGGTATGTAGCCTCTGAACAGATGTGTAGTCACGGTTCTAGGAGCTTCCTAGAACTGCACTAGGCATGGTTGCTGGCCAGTGTCAAGGGGACAGTGAGAACCTTTTCTGTGACAAGGTGGGAACAAGAGGGAGTCTTGGGAGAGACCCTCAAACACTCTGCCAGAATTCCTAGCCGAGGGAATAAGTTGCCAGCTACAAAAGATGGAACTCCAGCTCCATCCCCTGCCAGAAAGGAGAAGTCAGAAAGGCTCAGGCAGGAAGAGACTCGAGCAGACAGCTGGAAGGATGCCAGTCTTCTGGGTAAGGTGGGGCCGGAGCTGGGTACCCCACTTCGCCAGCAGTGTTCTACTGTGTTGTAAGTAAACAGTACACAGTGTCCAGTCAGCTCCTGACTGGCCACACTGGTGGTGGAAAAGTACGAACAACACAACCAGAAGGTGAGGAAGGTGCTGTTCCTGGCTACTGAAGCCAGCAGATGTCCTCTGTGTGCCCTGCCTGTCCTCTGTCCTCTGCAACTGCCTTCATCACCTTCCAGAGATTGGTCTCTTAATAGTGCCAACACACAAAGATCCAGGTGGGAAGACCTGTTGGAGTCGAGTTTGGGGACATCCCCCATCCAAAAGGGCAAAATGTGAGGCTGGAGGTGTGGCTCATATGGTAGAGTACTTGCTTAGCAAATGCAAGGCCCTGAGTTCAAACCTCAGTACTGCCCAAAAAAAAAAAAAAAAAAAAAAAAGGTCTCATTTTTCATAAGTCCAAAGTCTGACATTTATTTTTTTGTGGTACTGGGGTTTGAACTCAAGGTCTACACCTTGAGTCACTCCATCTTTTTTGTCTTTTGTGATGGGTGTTTTCAAGATAGGGTCTTGTGGACTATTTGCCTGGGGCTGGCTTCTAACCACAATCCTCCTGATCTTTGCCTCCAGAGTGGCTAGGATCACAGGCCGATGAGCCACTCACACCCAGCATGAAATAATATTTGAATAATATTCAAAATGACCTTCAGGTTGGTTGGATACAGTGCATGGAACACATAAGTGAATTCTGTGTTTAGACTTGGGTCCCACTTTGAAGGTATCTCATTATGTATGTATGAATATTGCAAAATCCGAAAAAAGAAATCAGAAATCCAAAACACTTGCATTTAGGATACAGGACACTTGACCTGTAGCAGGTTCCCAAGCGATGTCAATAAATAGGGACAGGTATTAATAACCTTAAGTGTCAGCATTTCACAGGGGGCACTAAAACTTGCAGATAAGGTCAGACCCATAAGAGGCAGTGTCTAACAAAACCAGGAAAAACCACTTGGTCCCTTAGTGATGTGAGCAGAATGGTGCCTGACTTCCAGACTAATGGGAGTGAGGCGCCAGGGTCCAGATGCCATTTGGGATCCCTTCAGTGCAAATCCTCCTGGCTGGGCCCTTTGTAGGGTAGAGTCCTGAATGGCCATAACTGTCTCACCTCAGGATGGCTGAGCTGGTTCAGTGACTCATCGTGGCTCGTTCCTAGTTCAGTAAACTTCTCTCAAATCTATCCTGGGATTGTGAAACCCCAATGTCAAGGCAGGGGCTGTGCTGAAAACACAGTGCTGGACAAGATTTCACCCAGAGATGCCACGAGGCTGAGTTGTCTGCTATTCTCCTAACGCTTCTTGTTACCTACAGCCTCACGTCTGGAGGTCAGAGAAGATGTACAGTGCTACGTGTATCTGCAAAAAGAGACTATGCATGCAGAAATAGTTTTCAATCCCTGTTTAAAAGTGCTCAAAGAAAACCAAGGAGCTCCGAGCTGCTAACCACTCATGCCTCCTCCACCATCTTTCCAAATAAGGCCTGGCTATCCTCCATAATTAAGTCTGATTCAGCATTCAGCTATAAAAACCTGCTTTTCCACCCAGCAGTAGCACTTCGTTGAGTTTCTACTGCTGAAATTCTAGACGCTCTATGATCTGACTTTCCAAGACTCCCTGTTCTTCCCTCCCTGCCCATGCCGCCTTCTCCCTCACTTCCCACAGATTTGGAGACCAGGCTCTGAGTGAGCCTCACCCCATTCCTTCCATTCACACACTGCCCCCTTTGCCAATCCAACTGGGGCTCCTGGAGCACGCCAGTCAGCCTAAGGCTGGTCTCTTGCAACCAAATCTGACATTCGAGGTTTAACTTCAAGGCTGTTTTCTTCAGCAGAAGGTTCGGGCAAGGCTTTGGATAAAATCCTCTCAGACACAGCATGGACCGTGAGGGAACCAGGTGGACTCATTTTTCTTTAAACAGCAGGAGTTCCAAACCTGTGCTTATTCCATTCTCTCTAACAGTTCATGTAGTAAAGACTCCATTCCCAGTTTGCTGCTGCTGAGGGGTAGTGGGACCCCAGCCTTTCCTTCTCTCCTCTCTTCACTATCCAGCCATGAGTCAGCGTTTGGTCCTCCTTGCACTCAACCACAAAGTGCTTCCTCATCACAGGCCCAAAGCAACAGTGCCAACCACCCTTTGGAGGAATGAAACCTCCAAAACACTGAGGCACAATAAACCTTCTTTCTTTATAAGTTGATTATCACTGGTACTTTGTTACAGTAATGGGAAGATGACTAAAACACTTTCTTAATGTCCTGATGATGTTGCCCCCAGTCCAGAATTCTCATTTGGAGGAGGGAGAAGGGAAGAGAGGATAAAAAGAAATTTTCCCTTTTTTGAAGTTGTAGTAAAGAAAAAATGAATATATGCAAGGGCAAAAAGGTCAGGATGAGAAAATAAGGAATAAGTTCAAAAACCAAGAATCTACCAATGATAGAATTAAACAGATTATAGCATGTTCACAACATGGAAAGCTATGAACAGTGAAAGAGAATAACATCTACAAGCAACCTTAAAAACAAGATGGATCTGTGTTAAGTGACGTTAGCCAGGCTCAGAAAGAGAAAGGCCACCATGTTTTCTTTCATATGTGGAAAACAGTTCTAATACAAATACAGCAATATTATGAAAAACAGGTCACACTAAGAGAAGGTCACTAATGGGAGAGGGAGGGTAAAAGAAGGAAGTTGAGAAGGTAAATATGGTTGAAGTATTTTCTATACAAGAATGAATATAGATTTTTAAACATGCTGAAATCACCATAAGAAGGGGACTGAGATAGAAAGGAGAAAAATAGAGGGGATAAACCAATTTGGGTTGTAATACATATAAACATGGAAATGTCACAAGGAAACTCCCTGTAAACAAACAATTTGTTTTTCAAAAACAGAGGACAGGAAGTAAAATTAGTCCTGTCTGGGGTTGGCATCAGTGGGAGGGGTGAAGATATAAGGAAAGGGTGAAGGAGGGTGAATATGGTGGAATATTATGTACTCATGTATGAAAATGGAAAAATGAGAGCTGTTGAAACTATTCCAGGAATGGGGGAGGGGGAATAAAGGAGAATGATGGAGGGGTGAATCCAACTATGATATATTGTAAGCACTTTTGTAAATGTCACAATGCACTCCCATTTACAACAGCATGATAATTTAAAAAAAAAGAATCATACAACATTGGGTCAAAGTAAGACACAAAAAACAGAAACTATATTGGTTTTCTCGTTACAAGGTAAAAACTGACAAAACTTACAAAGTTCAGAGAGTCCTATTTTTGTGGTTAATACAAATAAGCTCTATAATCCACCCAGCAGTTGACCTTCTGCAATGGCGTTGAGACAGTAACTCACACTTTCTGTGTATAAAGAGGTACAGCAGGAGCGTGAGTACACTGATTTTCTTAGGAGCTGAGGCGCTCACTATGAAAAAGGTCACACAAATGTGGCACCAGGGAGGGTTGGGACACAGCCTTCCCTGAGACAGTCATTGAATCAGCAGTATGGGCACAAGCTATTGAACTCCTAGATATATCATGTTCCCCAGCCATGTTCACAGTCACAAAATGCATAGGCTCACGATCAGATCTTAGTCTCTGGATACCATTGCCTGGCACATGCACCAGGGAATTGCTACAAAGCAAGCCAGAGACATGACTACTGCTTCAGAGATGGCTGCTCCCATGTCAGAGGCAGCCTGAAAAGCATCGTGAAGTTCAACACTGGCTCTAAGATGAAAAAGGGCGGTCGCGCTGTAGGAAGTTACTTGGTGGCGCGTAGCGATGTGTGCAAGGAGCTGTGGGTAAGAGTTGAGGGACAGGAGATGCTATTGATTTCGGAGGGAATTGGTGAAAACAGATGACACAATAGGAGATGAGTAAGGAGAGGAGATGAAACGGAGGTAAGACGAAGAGATCGAAATTAAGATGAGGGAAGGGAAGACAAGAAAGGAAATTGAATACAATCATGAAGGTAAGCAGAATGAAGGAAAAAAGAGGAAAACAAGGAGAGAAGAAACAAATGACAGAGGGGGACGAGTGTAGAGGGAAAGGTTAAAGGAGAGATAAGAAATGGACAGAAAAGAAGAGATGAAAGGCGGGGAGGAAAAGGACACCAGGGTAGTGCAGAGAGGACGATAGGGTTGAGTGCTAAAGGTACACTACGAGGGGACTGCGAAATAATGATGATGGATGGTAACACAGCAGAAAGGTGCAACGCAGGGGCTCCCAGGTGGGCCCCCTCCTGGCTGAGATAAGTGTATGTGAGCTTGTTTTAGAATCAACTGGCTGTGCTGTTTGTATGCTATTAATGCTTATAATTAATACTTGTAAAGTTTCTACAACTCTTCCTAGATAGGATTATATTTCAAGACAAAAAGTAGCTATAAAAGGAAAAAGCAGGTTATCAAACCACTACACCCGGTTTGCCTCCTCATTGTTTGCCACTTTGTAGAGTGTGTTGGAGCAAGAAGCAGAAGAAGGCAGTCCTTTACCTTGAGAAATGATAGTGTAATAATTCTAGGTCTATACTACTGTACTTTTTTTTCTGGTGGCCCTGGGGTTTGAACTCAGGGTCTTATGCTTGCTATTGCAGGTACTCTCTGCCAGTCCTTTTTTGTGATAGTTTTTTTTGAGATAGGGTCTTGCAAACCAGTTGCCTGGGCTGGCTTTGAACTATGATCCTCCTGATCTCTGTCTCCCAAGTAGCTAGGATGACAGGTGTGAATCCCCAACACCCAGCTCCTACTGTCCTTTTTAATTAATCTAAAAATACTCTCCTAGGAATATATGTGGGGGCAGTTCATGCAATGTGCAAGGTTTTATATAAGAAAAAAAGGAGGTACACATTTGGATGCATCTGGATGCAGTCAGTGGAAAAACACACAGGAATGTCCTTCCACCCTTTCAGGGAAGGAAGAGGAAGGGAGTCACAAGGAGGATGGCACTGCAAATGGAGAAGGACACCCTGGTGAATGAATGTCTTGTGCGATTTTTCTAACTTCTGCACAGTGAAGTGGATTACTGATTCAAACAGCACAAAACAGGATTTATAAATTTAATGGACTGTCTTGAACAAGAATACTTGGGAAGATAAGTCTGAAAGAAACAGGATAGCACTGCTGTAAGTCATCTGCTATCCTTTTTACATTAAAACAAGCCAATACTCTATGTCAATCAGCCAAATAGATCAAGTTCAGGGGAACTTACCTTTCTTGTTCAGCTGCAGGACAGAAGGAGGGGGTGTGGCCACTTTCATGGCCAGGCCATAGGCACCTCGGAAGGAGTGACTATCCCTCACGATGAAGGATCCAGGCTCTTTGTCCTTCAACATGGCAATGGCTACAGGGAGGGGAGGAGAAAGGGGTAAATGACTGCAGAATAGATACAGCTCAGTGACCTTTAGACCATCACTTTGTGCTTTGAGTACAGTTTGCCCCCTGTGAAGCTCCTGTTCACTGGCACGATGGATGGAGGCTGCTCTCTTGGGTGTGGGTTAATGCTCCCAGGGACAGGTGAGTTACTAGTCTCTGGCAAGGGTTCAATGATTGACACTTGGCTTTCCACCATGATCTGAAGTACGAAACTCATGCTACCAACAACAAGCTCTTGGGCTTCCAACTCCAGAAGCACAAGGAAATCGCTGTTGTTTATAAATCACCCAATCTCAAGTGCTCTGTTATGGTGACAGAAGATGGACGAAGACAGTCCTCTCCTCCCAGCAACTTGTGCAACCGCTGAAGACCTGGCCAAGGTCACTCAAGCTCGGCTGCTTGAATGGTGCGGATGCAGCAAAATGTCTGTCCTTCTGTCTATGCAGTTGACTGGGGAGAAGATGGGCACTCAGTGCACACTTGCCACAGTGCTGCTGGAGTGAGCCAGAACCTCAACCACCTGCCACAAGGGTGGCTAAAGTAAAGGATGTGACCTGAGTGCTAGGGAAGAAAATCATCTACATGCTATATACCAGTGCTATTTTTTTTTCTTAAAGCATACTTTTATTATTTTTGGGGTCCCAAACATCTATGATTATTTTCAAAGTAAGGAGAACACAGAGTTCTAGAAAAAATTTTTTGAATTACAGTATGCCTCACTGGAACTTGATATTACTACTTTCTGTTGGTGAGTGGCCTCATGGGACCTCAGACTTCCCACTGATTCCCCAGAATCAGGGCTGTGTGGAACACAAGGGGCCATGACCTCATGCACTACTGCAGGGGAGCTAGAATGCAATTTCAGACCCATAAACCTTTCCTCCTTTGAGTTGATGGTCTCAGGTAGCTTGTCACAGTCATGGAAATCCAGCCAACACAGGAGCACAGAGTGCCACAGCTGGATTAAGGGGCCTGGGCACACAGAACACAGCTGACACTGCCCTGCCCCTGGCATTTTGTTCTCTATCCAAAGACGGGACAGGGAGTCAGGGAGGTCACGACCTCAATCTGTTCCCACTTTCTCATACATTCTGTCCCTGGCACAAGCCTTTCACAGACGTCAAGAGCTGTGACAGTCAAATTGCAATAATTCCATTTAATTTAGAATTTTTCTTACACACACCACTCACCCCCTTTTTTTTTTTTTTTTTTTTTTTTGGTGCTGGTGTTTGAACTCAGGGCTACACCTGAGCTACTCCACAAGCTCTTTCTGGGGGTTTTTTTCAAGATAGAGTTTCACAAACTATTTGCCCTGGCTGGCTTTGAACCATGATTCCTCCTGATCTCTGCCTCCTGAGCAGCTAGGATTATAGGCGTGAGCCTCCAGCACTTGGCTTCCTGAGATGCTTTTATGTTCACTTCAGAAAACCCCAAGGCCTCTCGCAAGAGTAGCATTTGAAAAATTACAGTCCAAAGAGGCTATGTGCTTTTGTAAAAATTTTCTTCTGTATCTCACTAAGATGTCATTGTAGCTTTTTTTTATTTTTTGGAGAAGTCATATCCCATAGTTAAAAACAAAAGACACATATGGGACAATCTTCTGCCATATGAAGAAGCTGGCATGCCCAGCAAAAGGTTAGCCTGTGGCAGTGTCTCCCATATAAAATATCTAGAAAACAAAAGAAGCTACAATTTATTTTATTTATTTTATTTTTTGGCAGTACTGGGGTTTGAACTCAGGGTCTCACACTTGCTAGGCAGGCACTCTACCACTTGAGCCACTCCACCAGCCCAAGAAGCTACAACATTAACTGTGAACATCCCCACTAAGGCACAAATTAGGGTTTTGGAAATGAGGTCCACCCAAAGAAACCTCTTTAAATGTGTGCAAAGGTTAGGCGAATGGCAATGGTATTAGGTGGATGTTGAAGGGTCCCCAAAAGTCCATGTGGCAAAGGATGGGTCCTCACAGAGGAGCTACTGAGAGGTGATGGAAATACTAAGAGAGGGGCTGCTGGGGGCAGTGGCTCACACCTATAACCCTAGCTACTAGGCAGGCAGAGATCAGGAGGATCACAATTCAAAGCCAGCCCGGGCAAATACTTCCTGAGACTACCGGCACCCTCCAATCTCCAAAATAACCAGAGCAAAATGGACTGGAGGTGAGGCTCATGAAGTAGAGCCCCTGCTTAGCAAGCATGAAACCTTGAGTTCAAACCCCAGGCCCTCTGCCACATACACAGAAAAGAGTGTAGCCTTTTGGGAGGTCTTTAGGTCATTGGGGGGTGCCCTTGAAGGAGACTGTGGGGATGGGGAGCCTGCTTTTACTTCCTGTCTGAGATGGAAGCACTTTTGCTCCCCCAAGCACTACTATCATATTTTTTTTTTTATTGGCAGTAGTGGGGTTTGAACTCAGGCCTCATGCTTGCTAGGCAGGTGCTCTACCTCTTGAGCCACTCTGCCAGCCCTTTTTTGTGACTTTTTTTTTTTTTGAGATATAGTCTCGAGAACTATTTGCCCAAGGCTGGCTTCAAACTATGATCTTCCTGATCTCTGCCCCCTGAGTGACTGGGATTACAGGCGTGAGCCACTGGTGCCCAGCTAAGCTCTACCGTCATAATCAGCAGCCCTTGCCAGAGGCTCAAAACACTGAGACAACCTAATTCTGAACCAGAAATCCCAGGAACCAAGAACAAAAATAAATTTGTTTTCATCATAAGTTAATCATCTCAGGTATTTCATGATAGTGACAGACAGCTAAGTGGCACAGCTGACAACAGCTGCTACCTCTTACTTGACATCTACCAGGCATCCACAACAGGAGAAGCTTCCCACTCACCACCTCTCAGCCGCCTTACGGGGGGGGGGGGGGGCTCTGTCACCTCTACCGGTCTGAGGAGTCAGATGCTGCCTTCCACCCTGGCTTGTTTTGCTACACAGGCAATGCACGAGGAGAGCCAGCCCAGCCCAGATCAGCACACCACAGTACCATGGTGTAGAAGTCAGGGCCAACACACAGAACGCTCAGAACACGACACTCAATGGTCCAACGCCGTCCAACTGGACAAGGTACCAACATACCAGATGAGAACTAGAGCCACAGAACTAGGGTGGTGGCAATGAGGACATAGTACCCAACCATGTGGAGCCCGCAGACTTTGGTGAGCAGCTGTTCACAAAGGCCAATTCAAAGCAATAAAAGTCTTTCCAGGCCATGGGCTTTTTTTTTTCCCCCCTTTCCTCTCTCTTCCGTTAAAAATGATAATAGCTTCTTTGAGTTCATGGAAAGAAATGCACATTCTTACAAGTTCTATTATTTATATAACCAAATAGCAGAATTTCAATGAAGGAGCTGGACAGGGTATTTTTGGGCCACCGCACTGTTTTCTGGGAGCTTTTGAGACAGAATCATAAGGAGAGAAATGACTTTGGGGCAATTGGGCATAGACTAACCTAGCGGGCTCCTGCTGGTTACAGAAAGCTTGGCATTTCTCACTGCTCTAAACCATCCTCCCCACCAAGCAGCTGCTGGGATTGATCCCTGTCTCCTAGTTGCTGAAGGCATGGTAATGGCTCTCCTATACCAAACCCTCCGGGGATGCTTTGGGTACCAGAGCTCCACTCACTACCCAAATGGACTATCAGAGGAGCGAGGGCGAGGATGTTGGTTCTCTCTGGACAGAAGCAGTGCACTGTGGGGACCTGTAAATTCTGCTAAAGAACCACTTGTCACCAAAAACAGATGCTTATCACCAGGAGGCTGCCCAAGAGGGGACAGAGTTGCTGGGAACAGCTTTGCCAGCCTCCTGTTGGGACATCCTATCATAGTCTGGCCAAAAGTGGCACATGACACAGTGGCTCAAAACTATCAATAATTTCACAGTTGGTATTTATTAGGATGGAAATGCTCATTAACCTCTTGGAGCACAACATACTGTATATGTATACTGAATAATCACAGTACTTCATAAATATGTACAATTACTATGAATCGATAAAAAAATAACATACGGAAGGAAAATTTATATAGCAACGATTTCAAATTTTCAAAAACCGCTTTGAAGCTGAGCCAATCAGAGGGATGCTCTGTCTGGCTTGCATGTGTGACATTTGATTAAGTCTACCAACACACACCAATAAATATTAAGTGTCTGTCTTCCCAACTTGGAGCAATGCAAGGGTTGACAAATATATAGGGTCCCTGACTTCAAGGAGCGAGGCAGTAGCCGGGTACTTTGGTGGCTCACACCTGTAATCCCAGCTTCTCAGGAGGCAGAGATCAGGAGGATTGAGATGCAAAGCCAGCCAGGGCAAATAGTCCTAGAGACCCTATCTCGAAAAAACCCATCACAAAAAAGGGCTGGTGGAGTGGCTCAAGGTGTCAGCCCTGAGTTCAAACCCCAGTACTGCAAAAATAAAATAAAATAAAAAGGAACTAAGCAGTTAAAAAAGGGACATCCCCCCCCCCACCTTCCTGACCTTCGTTCCTCCATGGTGACATGGTAGGGGTGTCTCCTCCTAGGGAGCAGCCATAGGCTAGCACGGATGGCAAGCTTCGGCTGGTGGTGACAACCAGAAATGACACCGCACCATGGGAAACACTCATAGCTGGGGCCATTCTTCCCAATTCCCTCATCAGGACTCAGATTTTCCTACAAAACTTAAAGGTTGGGCCACATCCTCTGGAGATATGTTATAAGGTGTGATCTGGCTCCGACTGATCCACACCATGGCCACGGTCCTCTGCCATTCCTACAGAAGGTCCCCTCCCACAAGGAGCCTTACAACCCAGTAGGACAGATGTTCCAAGAGGCCCTTGGACCCCTCCACGTACCTTGTTCTCTTGAAATATCCGCCTTGTACCAGAACTTGGAAGTGTCTTGAACAAATTTCACCATCACAAGTTTATCACTTGGACTATCTATAAAGGGAAAATTTAAAGACAGTGACCATGCAGCACATTTTTATTGCAGCTGTTTGATGACCCTACATGTCCAAATCCCATGACTGGGACAAGGGAGGGATAGGGATTTCTAGGAGGAAAAAGGCAATCTTGAAATAGCTGAGCTAGAGGACACAGACACTACTTTATATTTTTTTTTATTTTTCTGGTTTTTGCAGTATTGGGGTTTGTACTTAGGGCCTCCACCTTGAGCAACTCCACTAACCCTTTTTTTGTGATGGGTTTTTTCAGGATAGGGTCTCATGAACTATGTGCCCGGGGCTGGCTTTGAACCGTGATCCTCCTGATCTCTGCCTCCTGAGTAGCTAGGATTACAGGTGTGAACCACAAGTGCAAAGCACAGACACTGCTTTACAACACAGGTTTTGATGCACAGAAAAGAGTTGGGTGCTAGTGGCTCATGCCTATAATCCAAGTTACTTGGAAGACTGCCATCAGGAGGATGAAGGCCACACCAGGCAAATTACTGGAATGAATCTACGGTAGATAAACACATAATCAGAGAATGAATGAATAACAGGCATTGTGTCTGTGTCTGGCTTTGAGCTCCCAAAATGGAAGAGATCCTTGAGGGTGCTGGATGTTTCCTGCAAGGCCCTTGGCTCAGCTCACATGGTAAATACCATACCCTTTCTTTCCTATGGAAATGGACAGACGTACAAACGCATACCTGGCAAAGGTGAGGGTACTTCTGACGACTTGGGGAAATCCGGAAGGACATTTGGGAACGGGATACTGATGGAACTCCCGCTGTGAGGGCTGGAGAAGCCACTGGATGACGGGGAGACGGAGCCCAGGGAACGATCCCCCTCGGAGGCCCGTTTCTTCTCAGGGAGAGGCGGCTGCCCTGGGAGGGTCACTCCCTGGCCCTGCAGGCCTGGGCTGTGGTGGCTGCTGCGTCCAGGTGACACGGTGAGAAAGCTGTGAGGCAGGAAGCCACTGTCGACAGGCCCTGCCGTGGTCAGTGGGACGCCAGGGACCGGCGACGTTCCATGGGAATTGACCAAAAAGGCCCCCGGGTCCTCGCCAGGTGGAAGACCACTCCCCACTTGGGCAGTGTTGAAGCCTTGGAAGGCCTGGCTGCTTGGAGGGTCTGGCGGCTCTGCCATGGACAGCTCATGGCTATGGAAAGAAGCCTGCAGCTCTGGTGATGAGAAGCAGGACCGGCCTGGGGAGTCCTTGCCAGAGCTGGAGGTGGTGCCAAGGGGACTTCCAGAGGGCCGACTGCTCCCCAGCAGCGGGACAGTGGACTTGGGGCTGCTCTCCCCCCATTGGCATTCTGCGGAAGGCAGGCTGTTCGAAAGAAGATGAGAATGTAAGGAACATGGAGACACCTCAAAATCAGCCACTGTCAGGTGGGGAGGCAGGGAGGCATCCAATTTACAGCTATGCACCCCCACTTATGGATTAACTCAAGGTCAGTGTCTTTGTCAAGCGGAAAGGAGGCATTCGTGTCTGTGTGTGGTCCACTGCATTATTAGAACCCCTGCGATGGGATTTCCTGTATTTCCTATGGCCCCCTGAGCAGCAGTGTCCTGCACACAGCCCGGGGCACCAGCCCCCTCCCTAACCATGCTCACCCCAGGCCTAGGCAGGGCACCCTGCTGCTGGGCCCAGCTTCAGACTCCTTCCCCTCTTTCCCTCAGCTCGACACTCGGGGCTTTGAGGGAACTTATGTCAGAAGACCCAAGGTCCTACCTCTCTCTCCTCTGGCCAGGGCCATTGCTTGAAATTGTGCAGGAAGATGCAAATGCCTGCTGAAAGCTGCGTGTTGTGGGCACATCAGCCCGAAGCATGGTGGGCTTGGATCCGATGGGACTCTCTGACATCCCCACGGTGTGACTAAGAAGCTGAGGACAGCCTCGTGGTTCTGCAGCGAGGAAGAGAGACAGGCCTTGACTATGTGACCCAAGGGGCCACAGTCTCAGTCCTGAGACTGAGAGGAACAGTGCTGATTTCTGCAGCTTGCCACCCTCAGTCTTAATGTCACCACTCATCAGAGGCTGAAAGAGGCAGCTTCTCCCCACCGTGGGCATGAAAGGGAAGACAGCTAACTCGGTCCCTACAGACACTGTCTGCCATGTCACCTGAGCTGTCTCACCTGGTGTCAGCAGCCATGTGAGAGGGACCCAAGTGAGCCAATCAGGTTGGTCCACTAGGCTCCAGGACAAGCATGGCAACCAAAGAGCTCCACTGCCAAGTTCACAGTCAAGGCCCTCTTCACTTGGGAAAGCCCACAGCCTTTCTTCTGTATGCCAGCAGGAGCATTCTCTGCAGAAAAGTCACTTCCCACAAGTGCAGGCCCCACAGTGCTGGCCACCTGAGTGTGCTTAACTGTCCCTTGTCCCACACCCCAGCTGGTGACTCGGCTACTCTATGTCCAGTGACCTCTGAGTCACAAACCACAGTCAAAATTATGCTGTTCTGGGGAGATAAAAATGGTGGTTCAGAGCAGCCAAGGAAGCCAGGGTGGAGAGAGCCACCAAGTTTGCAAGGGATTCAAAGCAAGTTTCCTTTTGAGACCTTCCTGCCTTCTCAACCAGGCATACAAGGGTGGTCCAATGCCTAGTAAGCAAGGCAAAACCAGGTGCTGAGACACTGAAAAGGAAAGCAAGGATTAGCTTACTGTGTGGGTGCCAAGTCACCGAAACTAAGAGTGTGAGACAGACCTAGGAAGGACAGCCTTGGCAAATACTGTGAGGTTTCAAAGTAAGAACCCATAAAGCACTACAACCCAGGCATAAGTGCCAGAGACAGAACAGCCTTGAGTGGATCTAAACAGTTCAGCCTTACCTTAAAATAACATTGTCACTGGGGAATCCATCATTCTCCAGAGACTGGCCCTCTCTTCCATCTTTTTACAAGTTTTGATATAATATCAAAAATTGATTTAAAAATATGGCCAAGTAATACAACAAGTAAGTGAAAACCAAAACCACCAGAAAAACCAATCAACCAGCTAACCAAATGACAATAACAAAAAATTCAAAACCCAACCAACCACTGATGCAAAACTTGGAGTTAAACCACACTGACAGGGGAATTCCAAGATGGCGGCTAGAGGTAGGAAGCAGAAAGCGACCCTCCTATAGTGAAATCTTGGAGAGACGCTGGAGACACACTTTGCAGGCATAATCACTGAGAAAAGGCATAACTTTGACCCCTCCACATCTCCAGCCGGCGCAGAGAATCTCCACTTCACGTTAAACGGAGAACCGAGGAGGCCCCGGGGCCGCCAGTGGCCGGCGCCCATACGGCTTGGGAAGACGCGGACCAGGTGAGCTTCGCGGTACCGCGGTTCCCCCACAGACAAGCCTGGGCCAGAGCAGCACAGCCCCCTGGACAGACTGACCTCCACCGGGGAAAAAAAGAGAAACTGAGTACTAAGCAATAAGAACAGTTAAGACACGCTGGAAAGAGGGTGGGGCGCCCTGAGCGCTGAAGATTGGGGAAGGGAATCCTTCCCGGGACTGTAAATAAACGAGCCAGCGGGCCGGAGGCTGGCAGCCGGAGCAACCAGGGCCGGAGGAGGGGACCCACTTCCCATGTGAACTGCATGGCGGCAGCGCAGCAGCACCGCCCAGTAAGCAGGAGCAGGAAAGCTGTGAAAGTGGCAGTGGGAGGAAAACTTCAGAGGAGAGGGGGGAAGACCCACCTCCCACATGAACTGTAAATAAACACGCAGGCCTGACAACGGGGCAGTGTCACCTTTCCCAGTGCTTGGAAAGGGGAAAGCCTGTAGCAGAGGCTCCCGCACAGGAGAACTCTGAGCAAACAAAGCCTGTGGGACCAGGTGAGTGCTAAGCTCACCCCAGAGATCTGCAAAATAACGCCCCAGCTACAGGCTGAGAGCAGCAGGCAGGCAAGCCACAGTTGCAGATACCACTCTCAGAACTGTCTCCAGACGCTTTTTTTTCTTTTTCTCCCTACCTTTGATGAGAGAACAACCGAATTACACCTGCAAGCCGAAAAACTTACTGAAACTGTATTGCATTTGAACTGGGGACACTTGGTGGGGCTTTTTTTGTGTGTGTGTGTGTGTGTGTGTGTGTGTGTAGTTTTGTTCTACTTTATGCATCCCCTTTGATGAGACAACTACAGAACAACATCTGAGGCACCAACTCCAGGACTGGAGATTGAGACGGACACCCAAATTATTAAGACTGAAACTGCATTGCATATAAACTTGGAAGTTTTTTGGTTTTTTTTTTTTTTAATTTTCTATTTTCCATTTTATTTTAATTCATTTTTATATATAGATATTACTTTCATTTACTTTTTTTTTTTTTTATCTTTGATTTTCAATCCTCTCTCTGTCTCTCTAATGTCTGTTCAGCTTACTGTCGATTAGTACACTAACACTCCCTGTTTATACCTTTGAAACTCTCTTGTCTGATACCTTGTTCTGCTTTCTCCCTCTTGTCTGTATATTTGTTTTCCCCTTTTCTTTAACTTCTTGCTTTCCATCTCAGCTCACCTTCCATTCTAAATATTACCATTGTTATTATTACAAGCTAGAAAATACTTAATTGCACACAGTACAGGGACAGTAACAACACCAAGGACAATGACGGGAAGACAGAAAAAACAGGGAAACCAGTTTCCCCACAGCAAAAAATTAGTACAGGAACCAGAGGGGAATGAAGAGAACAGAAACTCAGATCCAGACTCCAACAAAATGAAGATAAACTATGCCAAAGGACCCAATGAAGCCCACAAGAATAATTTAAAAGAAGACATACTACAAGTACTCAATGAGAATTTTATAGAGATGATACTGGATAGGGTCAACCAAAATGTACAGGAGACACTCAAGAAATTCCAAGACAAAAAAATAGAGAATTTGAAAAAGCAAAAGAAGAAATAAAGGAAACCATAGAAGCACTGTATAAACACCAAAGTGAAAGAGAGAACACAATGAATAAATGGATAAATGAACTCAGGACAAAAATAGACAACAATAAAGAAGAAAACTGCCAGGATATGGAAAACCTCAGAAAAAAGAACGAAACAGAACTGCAAAACAAAACGGAAGGCCAATCCAGCAGAATAGAACAAACAGAAGACAGAATCTCAGAACTTGAAGATGAAATGGTAATTAAAGGAAAAACCGAAGAACTATTAATTAAACAACTCAAGACCTGTGAAAAGAAAATGCAAGAACTCACTGACTCCATCAAAAGACCAAACTTGAGAATCATGGGCATCGAAGAAGGAGAAGAGGTGCAAGCGAAGGGAATGCGTAATATATTCAACAAAATAATAACGGAAAATTTCCCAAATCTAGAGAAAGATATTCCCATACAAATGCAAGAGGCCTCCAGGACACCAAACAGACCAGATCAAAATAGAACTACTCCCGACATATCATCATTAAAACAACAAGTTCAGAAACTAAGGAAAGAATATTGAAGGCTATAAGAGAGAAAAAACAAGTAACATACAAAGGTAAACCCATCAAAATCACAGCAGACTTCTCAACAGAAACATTAAAAGCAAGAAGAGCGTGGGGTGAGATCTTCCGGGCACTGAATGAAAATAACTTCAACCCCAGGATACTCTACCCAGCAAAGCTATCATTCAAAATAGATGGAGCAATAAAAGTCTTCCATGATAAGCAGAAACTAAAACAATATGTGAACACAAAGCCACCATTACAAAAGATTCTGCAAGGGATCCTGCACACAGAAAGTGACACCCAACTTAACCATGAAAAGGCAGGCAGCACCAAACCAAGGATAAGAAAAAGCAAGACAGTAGAGAGTAACATCAAGTTAGGTACACACAATAAAACCTTCAACAACCAAGACAACTAAATGGCAGGAATCACCACATACCTATCAGTACTAACACTTAATGTTAATGGACTTAATTCACCCATCAAAAGACACCGTTTGACAAAATGGATTAAAAAAGAAGATCCAACAATTTGTTGCTTACAGGAGACTCATCTCACCGACAGAAATAAGTATATGCTTAGGATGAAAGGCTGGAAGAAGATTTACCAAGCCAGGAGTAGCAATACTTACCTCTGACAAAGTAGACTTCAAACCTACATTGATCAAATGAGATAAAGAAGGACATTCCATACTAATAAAAGGGGAAATAGACCAAAAGGAAATAATAATCATCAACCTGTATGCACCCAATGTCAACGCACCCAATTTCATCAAACATACCCTGAAAGACCTAAAAGCATATATAAACGCCAACACAGTGGTTGTGGGAGACTTTAACACTCCATTATCATCAATAGATAGGTCATCCAAACAAAAACTCAATAAAGAAATCCAAGATCTAAAATATGCAATAGATCAAGTGGACCTAGTAGATGTCTACAGAACATTTCATCCAACCTCTACACAATATACATTCTTCTCAGCAGCCCATGGAACCTTCTCCAAAATAGATCATATCCTAGGGCACAAAGCAAGCCTCAGCAAATATAAGAAAATAGAAATAATACCGTGCATACTATCTGACCACAATGCAGTAAAAGTAGAACTCAACAACAAAAGTAAAGACAAAAAACATGCAAACAGCTGGAAACTAAATAACTCATTACTTAATGAAGAATGGATCATCGATGCAATAAAAGAGGAAATTAAAAAGTTCCTGGAAGTCAATGAAAATGAAAACACAACCTACCGGAACCTATGGGACACAGCTAAGGCAGTCTTGAGAGGAAAGTTTATAGCCATGAGTGCATATATTAAAAAGATTGAAAGATCCCAAATCAATGACCTAATGATACATCTCAAACTCCTAGAAAAACAAGAACAAGCAAATCCCAAAACAAATAGAAGGAGAGAAATAATAAAAATAAGAGCTGAAATCAACGAAATAGAAACCAAAAAAACCATACAAAGA